GCATAATAATTAACTCTTTTTTTGATCTTTGTAAATAACCTCCTTTATGAATCTAGGTTGAATACCTTTTTATGTTGGTCCAATCCCTCCGTTTATGCTGTTCTTTTGGTTTAAAATTAGTAATTATGAATACTTACAGTGTAATTAGTTAAGTGTTCAACTTTGAATGACCTACATTCATTCTGGCTTTACAAGTATGGAGTGCCTCTAGCCATCTTTTTTGGCTTTTGTTCCTGATTATTTCAAGCAATTGAAGGCTAGTAGACATGGTCCTACTATTTTAGTTGATTTCATTTTGCCTATTTTAGATTGTAATAAGCTAGGTCGTGACAATCACACTCTTTAACGGTTTGGTCTTTCAATCAATGTAGGCCTCCTGCAGAGCTATGAAGTCCCACTGCTTCTGAGAAGCAAAGCAGCAAACAAGACAAGCAGGGGTGGCACCTTTAAGGTGAAAGCATAAAAGAATCTTTCCTTGGGTTGCCAGCACTATGCAAGCAACAGAATCAGGGAACCCTTTCATGGGGAGACATCAAACTCATGGCACCTCTGAACACTCAGCACTCAAAAAGACAAGCAGGAAAAGGAAGGCAATATCTTATCATTCTTGGAAAGAGTTGACCTGGGCAAAAGGAAGTTTCTGCTTCTTCCTAGCCATCATTCTTAATTGGATTACATTCTTTCTTTTGGTTGGACAATATTTCTAATTCATGTTCATCTACAATTTCTGTGTTTTAATGGGGAATCCAAACTCCAAAAGTCCAAAGTGGGCTACTTGTCTCCGGATTTCCACCTTCCTTTACTAGGATGCAGTTTGAAAGAGCTTTTGTAAATAACCTCCTTTATAACACGAGATTTCGGAGACAATCTCTCTCTCTCTCTCACACACACGCACAATCTTCAACCATCTTTTACCAAGTTGGTTGGCTCCCTCACAATCTTCAACCATCTTTTACCATGTTGGTTGGCTCCCTCAAAACATACTTTGCTAGGCGGTATTTTGCACCTGCAAAAAGGTAAGTTGTAAGGCTGCTTGGAAGGAATTTCAATTTGCGCTGTAAAGCACAGTTGATGCAGTAAGGTATAGCTAGTTATCTCTTTCATCATAGCATAAATTTGAATAAGAATTTTGAACAATGACCTCTGCACCGTCCACAATTGATGACGATGAAAAAGAAAAAAATCCAAAAAACATTAGATTTGCCTAAACTTGGCTTTAGATATGACAGCACCATTCATGTTACCAATTCATATTCTAACAGAGATGGACAACCGAGAATTCCAATCAAATTACAGCAAATGGAAATGGCCAAAAAGCATGCTAAATGACAATGGAAAAACGTGGATAATTTTTGGACTGATGATTGAAAATAATAATATATATGGTAAGAAATTTGTGATTGTAGTTATTGACTGACTGTCATGACCTAAATAGCAGCACTGATTGGTAAAACATGTATGGATGGTAAATTTGGTGCATATTTAAGTGAAAAATGATGCTAAATTGTGATATAATCGCAGCAGAAAGGACTCTGAATGTCAGAGTGGTTCGATCTGTTTGGTTGGAAACTAATAGAGTGTGTTGGAGGAGTAATACTTAGGGTTGTAGATCCAAACGCCACGGTGACAACTCGTTCCGATTGTGATGTGGCCCGGAGCTGATCTGAATCTCCCCCTTTAATTGAACTTTAAGGGAGACAAGAGCTATGTGGTAGATTTAAGTTCTCTATTTAGAATTTTATAGTTATGATATCACAATAAAATTATAAATTTACAATAATTATGTAGTATTAAATAAGTATATTGTAATATTAAAAAAATTATACCTTTTATGAATTGTTAATTCCTTAATTTCTTTTCAAATAAGTCATATGTTACTAAGACCAAAGAATAAATTAAGGTTATAGTTAAGGTTAAACTAGTAAAAAATCGTTATATTTTGAATTTAAATCCCCAATTTCTTTTAATTTTTTCATTCTTTAACTCTTCTTTTTTACATCTTGATGGTTTCCACTTGTAGATAAGTTCCTACCACACGAAATTAAACATCTTAGGACATATAAAAGGTAAGTTTAAATGTTGTAAAAATTTTATTTATTAGTTAAATTATATATTTTTATTGTCAAAATTTGAGTTATATCAGTTGTCTCATTTTGCTTTTCTTTTTGCTAGGAATAAAAAAAGAAGATAAAGAGTAACTCAAATTTTTGAAGGTAAATGTGAAAAAAGTGCACTCTATGGCACGTCTTTAACAAAAAATGTGTTTTATGACACAAAAAGTGTTTGGTTAGTAAACCTTTAAAAATTCTAAGAAAGTGCCCTATATATGGTATGATTTTAAGAAAGGGAAGTGCTCTATGGCACATTTTGATGAATAAAGGAAAGATAAAGAGTAACTCAAAATTTTGAAGGTAAATATGAAAAGAGAGTACTTAATTGTACAATTTAAAGAAGAAAGTGTTCTATGACACAATTTTAAAATAAATG